GGCAGAATAGAGATGAAAGGAGGAAAGTACTTTCATTGAATGACCTTGTGGGGCTTTCCTTCAATAAGAAGTTTTATCAAGCCAGACTTGCAGGGGGGTGGGGTGGGGGGGGTGGGGGGGGGTAAACGGTTCTCTTGACAGCCTTACAATACTCAGTTTTTTCTACTTCAAATTTATTTTACATCTGCTTTTTTTCTCCTAAAGTTGGGTTGTAGCAAACTAACGACATGTTTTGAGTTGAAGGGTGTCTATGCTTAACTTTCAAATCGTTAGCGGAATGTGGCCGCCCAATTTACAAGACGTAAAGACAAATAGATCTTCATGCAATCGCTGCGCACCTTTAATAGGACTCTTAAGCCCTCTCAAGATCTACAGGGTGGGAAACTCCTTGAGAATTTGTGTTTATGCTGAGCACTAGACAAAAGATCACTTAGCGCTGACTGTATGAATGGCTCAAAGAATAGGCTAAAGTGAAGTAGACTGTAGAAGAGTAAAGAAGAGCACCTTCTCCACTTCTGTACGTGGGGAAAGACATCTCCCCCCCTTTGGAAGGAAGGGAAGAGGGATAGAAGAAAGAGGAGGGAAATGCCAGCTAGAGGGAAATATTTTAGCCTACGCCGTGTGTCGGCTACTGTTGTTGATGTTGTTGATATTTTCGTCAGACACTCTCCACCCATCCCTCCCATCCATTCACAAATAATTCAATTAAGGCAAATATTTGTATGTGTGTTGTCGGTGTGTGTATGTGTGGCGGGGCGGGGTGGGATGGTTCCCCACATATACGCACACACACAGCCCACCTGACAAAGAAGACAGATTTTTTCCTCCACTCTCCCTCACTTCTCTGATCTTCTACAAGCTTCATCCTCCTCCCTATTCTTCACTTCTTTTGCTAGTTGTTGTCGGTAAACATTAGAGACGATTCGCACAGTCGTGTAACCCTGCCACATGCACAAATAAAAAGGGCAAACTGGAGCTTGATTAATCTGACCCGGAAATTTTGCCGACAGCGTGGGAGAATCAATGGACGATGTAGACGTCTGATTTCACGATAAAATTAAGTTACAAAAGTGGGAGTTTGTAGGACCAGAAATCTATGATGGAGAGAACTCGAGAAAGGAGAGTAAGAGCTTGCCGAATCTACCGCACATGCCGTTCGCGTTGTCGGACGTGGAGTGCGGATAAACCCAGAAGGACGAGGAGAAATTTCCCAGTGAGACCAGCCCACCACACACGCAGGTAGGCACTTCCACATACCGAGTTGCCTTTGCAGTGGGCAACTTTGGATCCACTTCCTCTTTTTTTCCACACCGCTACCATCAAAGACTTTGGCTCGAAATCTGGCCCAGCTGAGCTGCCTTTGGCACATGTAACGATGCTGTTTGTGTGAGTGTTTTTCTCGAGCTAAAAACAACCCAGCAGCTGTATCCATTGTCCACTTATTCATCCGCACCTCTCATACACCTTAGCTCTATTCACTGTCAAAATAATCATTTAGTGAATTAACCCTGCACCAGTTTCACTTCCCAGTTGTGGGAAAATATAAGATGAGAACCGAAGAATTGCGACGTGATTCATGGGTGAAGTGTTTGCGTAGTTTCTAGCTAATCGCTTAATGCTTTAAAGCGCAGCCTGCAACAACTGTTAACCCCATGACCCAGAGGAAATTTAAAACTATTAGTCATGGCTCCGAGGTCATTGAGCAGTTTTCCTGCAGATTAAATTTAATCCACTTTAGGAACTTCCTATCTCGATGAAAAGAGTTGACACATGGAAGAGCGTTTTCCTCCTCCTATTGACACCTCAACTTCTTCGGTTGCAAGGTTTTGTTCAGGCCTATCGACGTATGAGTATTGCAGTGAATGGATCTACGGTGAACCCCCACTACTGGTACCGCCAACCGCCTTCTGGTCTACCGTCCTGGTACTCCCGTAGTAGTACCACCTTTCGCAATCACAAGGTCTTCCAGCTTCGCTTCCTTACCCAATCAGATGTCAGATGCAATGACGGAACAAGGGCAGGGTTAGTGGCCTTCTTAAATACGAAGTAAATGTGTAAACCAGAAATACTTTTTTCACTAAAATTGGAGAAATTGTTTTAATCGAAGTTACAAATTTGCAACTTCAAGGTTAGACATCACTCAGAAAACTCACTCAAACCACATACAAATGCATGCATTAAAAATCGATAATCAATTATTGATTCTTACTCAGCAATCGGTAGTCACTTCTGCTGGGCCACTTTACTGACGCTATGGGGTGCCTTCACTTGCGGTTCTGTGCGAATTGACTGTTGACTTAAACCCTGAAAGGAATGTTAATTTAAAAAATTACTTATGCTCCTTGGTAAATATAAAGCTTGAAGACCTATTTATTTCATTTTACTGACAACTCCTTTGATCTGTGTTTACCTGCCGACTGCATTGGCTCATCAAATGTAGCTTACAAACACAAAGATTGGTAAGATGGAAACATCTACTGCCTTTATTACACGTAACTTGAAGGAATGGTGAAAAGTTTGGACTATTCATCTAGAAATGTTCTTAATCTACAAGCCAAGAAAACGTTTTACGGAAGACGCAGGCAGATATGAGGAAATCGGTTCGTGCCAATTAGGCGTGCTCCTGAGAGGAGAAGAAGGCCTTTTTCTCTTGTGCCACCCCGGTAAATGCTGATTTGGCAGTCTTTGATTAGTTCAAAGTTGTCTTGGTCATGCTTGAAAAGCCTGACCTTCATGAATTTCGTCGGCTTCCTTCCCTGCCTCCACGCTTGTGTGCCAAACTTCTTCTTCTTGTTCTTCTTGGTCAAAAAGTGAAAAAGTTCCGTATTTGTCGGCAAAGACGGCGATGCCTTTCATGCTGTTATTTTTGTCAACGGACTAGGCTTCCCAAGTTCACTAAATCACTCCTAAATTTTCCATTTCTACTCAGGTTAGCGTCAGTTATCCGACAGTGCATTTACCCTTGACTGTGCAGAACAATGAACCGCACTTTGGAAAGTCTTATCAAGCTTGTCTAACACGAAGAAATATTTGGTAATTTTGGTCTAATTTATTACCATTTTGGGTGCAGAAAACTCGCCTTTTCTTTGGGAATCTCTGCATCAAAGTTACCACAAGATTCAAGATTCTTTCCTCCGAAGCCTAAGAAATAATTGGTATATCATCCAAAGCAATCACTTCACCTTACTACTTAACATGTTTTCCATCAGGATCTCAGAGGAGACTCAACTTTTACAGGTAGGATATTTTACTGTCCAGCGCAAATATCCACTACTTTTTCAGAGCCTGTTGTTTCAAACAAAACTAATATCTTTGTTAGAAGTGGTTGTCACAGCATGATAAGATACGTGTTAGCGGCGTGACAACGTTGCATTTACGTAGCATTGGCAGAGAGGGTGTTCGTAAACTTCAAAGTGATAGCAATGTTTTACTATTTAGATCAGAATTAAAGAAAGCGGGGTTAAAAGCTTTCTGCTTTCTCAAATTCAGAGGAGTTGTATCTCATTTCTTGCCTAGTTAGGACACTCCTTTTGCCGGTATGTCGGCACGGAGGCTGCAAAGCTTTGAACAAAATTTTTGTGCATCTCCACCAATTAGCAGTAGGCTTTTTGGGGTAGGCCTCCCTGCATTGAAAGGTCACGGCAGGATGTGATGTGAGCTTTTGGCCGATACAAACGCTCGCTGGGAGAAGAAAAAGAAGGCGAAGAGGGAGCAGGAGAAGAAGCGAGAGGAACTATCTGTCGGATTATCGGTGATTTCTTTAACTGACTGTTTCGTAAAAAAGGGCGAATATTTCATGTTGATTTAGGGCGCTTTTGTGTAGTTTGCAGACCAGATATTATGAGATGCAAACTTACCACAAGTTTGTGGATAAACCGCTGAAGAGAAAATAGATTAAAATTAAATTACAAATGGAAGAAATGATTAAGTAAATTCGGTGGTAGCTCCAGTGGGATGAGTTGTGAAGAGGTGACGATAAAATTAATTGCTGGCGTTCTTTCCTGTTTCTTGCCTTTTATCGTTTTGTATCTCTATCTTCTGGTAATAAGACCACCTGCCAGGAATCTGCACCCATGAGGTTTTATTCGCTCACACAAGAAATTGAGGGGAGTGGAAGAGATCGGTCGTTTGACAGCCGACGTCGTACTGACAGGTCTCCACGTTCCAGCGCCTGACATCTGAAAGAATGAATATACGAGTGGAATTCGCTGCTGCTCCTGCTTCTGTTGCTGCTTATCGTTCTACCGAAATAATCAGTGGTCAGATTGGGGTGTCAAAAATGCGCGCTTTTTTGCTTTTTTTTCCCCAGACAATAAAAACATCGTATTAGAGATTTTCTACCATTTTTCGTGATATGATGAAAGTACTTTCGTATTGAATATTTTGTTTTCAATCGCGCCTACCTTTTCGCAATCATGCGCTTCTTTCATTCACTGATGTCCTCAATTCGGAATATGTCAAGGGTGAAGTAAACAATAAAAAGTCATTAAAGGAGTTATTCATCAGTTATTCTTTTGTAAACTGTGATTCGAATTGTACCTTACGTAAATTAAGCAGACAATAAGAGTTATTTTGGTCAAAATGCTGCAGTTACTTAATGAAAGGTACAAGTCATTAGTTAACTTTGTTGCCCATGCTACTGATAAAGGTAATGAGTAGAACTTGTCTTTAATTGGAACACCGGCTAAAGTACAAGTTACTCGACGTTTCACAGCTACTACGTCCGACGTTCAAAGGACCTAAAATCACGAAATTGGCTGATCTACCTCGAGGGTGGGTGGTACTGCTTCGACGAGGCGACGTGCATCTCTCGACAGATCACGAATCATGCCCTCTTCTCCTCTCGCACCTGGCACATGATTCGGTACAGTGAGTTATCCGCATTAACATTTTAACAGCTTATTTATAGTCGGTGGTGTGCTCTCCTGGGACGATCGGATTAATCCCAATTACCACAACTACAATACAATGTAAGTTATTGCTCATGAGGATTCTAATCCCTTCTAGATTCGTCCCTTACTGTTCCAGCGATCTGTGGACTGGCAAGAAACGTGAAAGAACCGGAGGTAAGGTCATTCAAAGGCCTTTTTTAAGAGAGTATGAAAAATTGCTTATTGCCTTATTAAGTAAAAAGAGCAAGATATTTTATTGACTTCAGGCTACTACTTTCATGGATCAAGAATTCTAACTGCGGTTATAGATGATTTACTCAGACAACCAGAGTTTACCAGAGTCGATAAAGTCGTATTTTCAGGCTCCAGGTTAGTGATCAAGTGTCCCATGCTCATCAAACTAATGCGCAGTCTTTCAAACGCCCTATTTTTTCCCATCATTCATTTTTTAATAATTTAACGTGGATTTATCTATTTTCTAATTACTGCACTCAATTAAAAAATATCGCTTTAAAGATGTGACATTGATGCTGAACCTTAATGTGCTGATGTTTTTAATGGAAATGTGGCAACATCTTTGACAGTGCTGGTGGCATTGGTGTGATGCTGAACATTGATCGCTTGGCAAGGCGACTGCGTCGGGGTCTACGTTATCGAAGGTGGCGGCAGTCTACGCGAAATTACAGTAGGCTCCAAATCAGCGGACTAGTTGACTCTGCCTGGTTCCTCAATTATCCTACTTACGCGCAGGCCTATTCAGGCAGCTGTACCAGCATTTACGATTGCCCTCCTGAGGAGGGTATCCTTCGTGGAATAGGGTGGGAATCTTTCAAAACATTATGCTCACACTATGCATCGGTTTACATACATCTGCTTTACCTGTACTTCTGTAGCCTATGGCAACCGCGAATTCCAAGACGATGTAGAATGGCACAGGGGAAGAAGAACTTCTGGCAATGCTACCTGGGGCCCGTAATCTACTCCCACCTTCGAAGTAAGCTTGTTTGGTCTCTGAATTTGTACTGAAAACGTACAAGTAGACAGACTAGATCCACAAATCAGAAGTAGAGAGGAGAATTTTGACTCATTAGAATACATCACCAATGGGGTGATTTTCCCATTCCTCTCACTTTACAACTATTCTTCAAGTGTCCAATATTACATCGTTTTAAAATACCCTACTGAAGCAACCAACGCTTGTTAGGTACTCAGGAATCTACACAGATTGCTGCTAAGGGTATATTTTACGTATTGCATGAAGATAAACAGTTTGACATCATATAAGTGTTTAACCGGGTTTTTTGTTTGGCCCAACTACTTAAGTGATAAACAGGCCTTTATAAAGCCATGGACAAAACAAAGATCCAGACTGAAGATAGGGGGACCTAAGTCACTCTTTCGATGGGCAGATGGATGTAAATATGCATGAGAGCAAGTATGAATTGTTTTCGGGCCTGGTTTTTCAACCAGGCCCGAAATTCTGTCCTTGGTTAACGAGACTCATTAGCAAGCAGCTGGTCATCAAAATGGATGGCCACGTAAATTACTTTCATGATAGTGGTTCTTCATTATGCTCGTGGAGTTTTGTGAAGCTAACATGTCCTGTTTAGCATTACCGATGATGTTAGAAGCGGAAGCAGTGGTGTGAGAACTTTGGGTTAGCTTATGCGTAATTAAAAAGATAGAGTAAGCCAATTTTAGGTGTCTAGTAAGCCCTCTACCCATAGTGACTGCAGGGCAATGTAATTAGGAGGTAAAGTTGATGGATGGTGGTAAAAGTCGTGTGCTGGCATGCTCAATCCACCTTTCGCAGAGTTACCTTTTAGCAATTACGTGTGCATACCTCCAACTGAGGCATCTCATCTTCTAAATTTATTAGCTTGGGGATTTGCCTTTGAATGGTTGGTTAACTATGAGTTGCTCAACACGAAAAAAGTGAAGCAACACTTTGCCCAAAATACCTATTTCTGATGAAGAAGTGGACGCTGTGAATTAGTAATGGCTTAAAAGGACAAACAAAACCCATATTTCCTTAAACATAATCCCACATCATCTTAAAGACCTTTAGACCGAGGTTAACTTTCCCCACCCCTAAATGCACTCTTAAAGGGACAAAGGTAATTTCCGTTAGTTTATTCATGAGCATAGCCTATGCGATGATTTTGGAGTAGAAATTTAATTGCTTGACATGAAATTACTCCGACTGTGTTAGGATTGGTTACAACCAGTGGGCATAGTCTGATAACTAGCACATGTCACATATTTGTGACGTCACATGCACATGATGCTGATAGCAAACGCATTACCTGAGCTTTTGAATGACTTCTACAAGGAAAGCACCTTAAATTGTCAGTTCATGCTTTTTGACCAAGCCCAAATGTAAGTGATTCCACCCTTTGTAATAGCTGACTTATTTTTGGCAAAAAGAGATATTTACTGAACGAATTCAACGGTTTTTGTTCAAGCACCTACCTTCATCATCCAAAGTCTCTTTGACGAAGCCCAATTGCAAATGAGTAGAGCCATTCTCTTGACTGGTGGTTCCTACAACAAACTGGCCTACATTCAGAATTTAGGCAAAGCTGTTGCCAAGAGTCTCGACACTGTCCAGTGAGTTTAACACTTTTCTTACGGTTCCTTTTAAAGTGGTTTTAAGTTGTGCACATATAGCGGTGATTTTACTACTTTCACCTTTAGGGGTGTCTTTGCACCTGCTTGCACAGACCATGAGATTCTTACCACCAAGTAAGTGCTCCCTCAATATGCTTTATGCTCAACAAAATACGTACTTTAATTTGCTTAAATGTGGCCACCAAGGCGTGGTCAAAGTTGAAGATATTGCTGTCTTCGTAGTTCTTCATTTGAGAGTCCGCGTAGATTTAGCAATCCATCGTAAATACCTTTGTGCTATATCCAGCCAATAAAATGATCTAAGTTGGTGTTCTTTCGAGCTATTCTCGGAGGCGCTAGAAGGCAAAAACGTTGCCATAGGCACTCAAGGAGGTGTGACAACTGGTGCCAGAGTAATCGAAACAGGCACAACTCAAATTAGATTATGTGGGAGCCCTTTATACTACACGATAAAGAGTAGAAAAAAAAAACGAAAAATACATGATTAGAGCATGTGCCATTTCAAATTAAAAAAGTACCATTTCATCAAAGTAGTCTTAAATGTTGCATCGTTGTTGTGTGCATAGGCAAGTGAACTTTGAAATCTGACCACACAAAGGGCACCTATTCAAAAGGCGACTTAACGCAACACAAAGTAAATTTTAGATCTCGGCGTAAAAGTGATTGCCACTCCTCATTTTGAAGATGGCGCAACGAACTTTTAAAAAAGTCTTTTACGTCCTTTGATGGAAAGATACGTTAAAATGCCTATAAAATGATTGAACTTAGTTAGTTCTGGGATTAGCTCTTCAAAAGTATGCTTAAAGAAGTTGGCTTTAAATGTTATATTTATCAAATTAGAGGTGTACATTTTAACCTCGTCCGCCTTTAGCCATTGGGCCCAACTAATGGTGGATTCGCAAAGCCTACATGACACCCTCATGGCATGGGACGCTCACTTGACTCGGTACGTCTTCCTTTAATTGGTGGAGTTATTTGTAAAGCTCTATCCTAGTTCATAATTCATTTTGGGCTACGTCTACCGGCTACGCAGAAAATCCAGACACATACACTAATTTGCTACAGGCTATAAGCAAGGAAGAGGTAACATTTTAAAGACCATCATATCGTCTAAAGGAATCTTAAAACCGTATAGAAGGGTTGAGAGACCGGTGGCGTTGAGGTCATAAGTCGGCTTTTCACCGTCCATCTTAGCGGAGACAGGAAAATCTATATAATAAAATTCAAGCATGCAGCTAATCTATTCTTTTGAGCATTGCCCTTGACGCTTGCCTTGTCACTCTTCGAGTGAATGGATGGTTTCACATCTAGAGATTGATCGTGTTTGATGCTCAGTAATAAGCGTATTCCTAACGTCAATCTCTTTTTGCAAAAAGTATTTGCTTTAAAACAAAGCTGTTCAATATAAGGCAACATTCTGTTTATGATCCAGTTTTCAACTTCATCATTATTCCGCTACTTTCCATTCACCTATCTGGTTCATCTCTGAGTTTCTGTGGTAGGGGGAGACCCTGACGACACCTGATTTAGGGCTTCACCAGTATTGTCAACCAAATTCTGCAGAACTCAGAAAGAAATAGCTCCTAAAAATCGGCACATTTTTAAGAAATTTTTTGGTGCTAGTTACAACAGATTATTATCTACACCAGGCGTTTCCTCCTATCACATCTTAATGAAGCATTTAGTCAATGAAATTGACATCGCTTTTGTCGCGGGCGGATTGCTTAACGTTGTCATCAATGTAGGTGTTATAAATATTCCCAGTCAGGATATATTTGCACAATAAGTGAATGGACACACTGTGAGGCTGATGGTGGAGGAATTAGATGACCTGCGTATCTAAAATACTAAATGAAGTTGACTTGCCAGATCACAAATCGGATAGGAGGACACACGTGGCATTGTAAGTGAGTTTGAAATAGAAATTTCCCACTCATTTCGGTTCATCGTTCCGAAATAGCCCTCAAACAACTGCCACCGACAAATTGGAATCCAGCGTAGCATTTGATTGGGTTAATTGAGTGGCGATTGTTGGCCGTTGGATGGGAGTCGATATTTGTGTCGTATGTTTAAATTGTGAACGTATTACAGGACTTTAAAGCTATAAAATGAACACTCAAGGCTAATTACATGAAAAACAAAAGCAACACTGTGCATTTGTTGATTATTTAGGTGGCGTCGCTACCCCGACTGGTATTTCCACCTCCAATCACCCCGATGTCCGTACCGAGGAGAGACGGGACATTCAAGGTCACCTGATTACTCCTTGCAGGGGACCCATCAGCCTCATCAACTGAACTCCTCGATGATCTTCCTCTCCAAGCTGGTAGCGGTGTTGAACCGTCCCAAGACAGACAAGTCGGCGATGCGTGGAGGTCGAGAGCATGCGACCCGCCGAAGCCCTCGTGATCTACTTCGAACTCATCCGCCTTTCCGTTTTCGCGTTGTTGACAGGTGCTCTCTAGACGTCGGTCCAGACGATGAGGTTGTGGTCGTGGGCGAGAGCTTTAGTGCTGCAGTATCAGGCAATCTGGCGGCTGCATGTGCAGGTCGATCACACATGACCCCGCTGTGCAATCCCTCGTGTCGCACGCTCACGCATCCCCACACCATGGAGAGACTGAGTGTGGTCTCACTCTATGAACTCTACGGTGTAGATTCAGCCCAACTTGCCGCCAATATCGGGGTCTCTGTTACCCAGTTGAAGGCGCTACCTGTGAAAATGCAAATGCAGATGCTCTTTTGCCTACCAGTCTAGATATTTGTACACTTACTCAAGCACACACAAACACATATACACACAATCATGCAGAGGCATTCCAAAGGCAACAGTATTTATTCATATCTGCGCACAAACACACAGAGAGAAGTGACAGGTAGCCGTGGTGCACTTATGCGGAGGAACTGCGAATTGCCAGTACGTACAGGGTAGAAGATGAAGAGATGCAGTCATTTTGAAAGACTTTTTTTTGAGACGAGGAGGAGAGCATTTATCACGCAGATTGATAGTTTCCCCTCCTCTTCTTTCTCTACTCCACCCGTCCCACGTCCCTCCCACCCCCCCCCCACACTACTGTCAATAACAACAATTTCACCGTTATAACTATTGCTACTGCAACTGCTGCATTAAAGCCTGTCGAAGTTTGCCCTGATGCATCTCACGTGTGACTGTTCAGGTCATCGTTGAAAGAGCATCTCATTTGAATGTTGCAAGATTCGGGGTATACACGTGTGGGAACCTTCCGTCTCCCAATGCAGAAGTCTAGAGAGATGAAGATTTGACTCTACCTTACAGATGGTGTCTTGTAGACTTTTCAAGGAAGGATGAATACTTTGTCGGAACTCCTTTTGAAGGCAAGCTTGAAAGAAGCTTTATAATGAATGCATAAAAAGGCTGGAAGTCTATCGACAGAACTATCGCACCTGGGTGGCAACAGAATCACTGAAAGCAAAACTAGTTCTGTTGCATTGGATGTCGTTCACAGATTGGGAGGAGCCGCTAAATGACCAGATCTGGAAGATGCGGCACCCGATTGATAAAAGGCCTACTAGATGAGGTGAGTAGGAGATTGTCAGTTCAGCGTTGTCTTACACAAAAGCTGGATCGCCTGCCTGGCCATTCATTCGGTAAGCAGAATGGGTAATTGTGGCAGGAGAAAGGAACAATCAAGAATAAATGGAAGGGCGTTAGGGAAATCAGGATTTTCTTTTAAGTAAGCTTTCTCCTTGGACAATTTATTTTGATGGATTCAACCACGTTGGAGTGGGATTTGACATTGACCACTTAATGCGTACTTTCAAGGGACACTAGCAATTAAATTGGGACTATTGACGTGTTTAAAGAATAAAAAGTAGGAACAATGAACAGTACAACGCTCACTTTTCCCCTCTTCCCCCCACCCACATTATTTCCCACTGCTGCATTTACAAACTTATTACGATATCCTACTAATGTCTGTCACAGAAACTTCTGCTTTTTGGATAGTTTGTCCCATGACAGATAATGCATCTACTAAAATGCTTAAGATTAAGAATTTGATTTCCATGATGTCCTGATGTTCACATCTCAGAATGACTGCTGTAGTATCATGCCCCGCTTAAGTGTCCCCTCACTGCACACTGCCGCGGGTTTGAGTTCGATGCTGTTGCATGGCGTCTTGGTGAACAACGCCTGGGGGAGACTGATCCATGCCGACAATATGCACTCAACATTGTCTATTGCACCCCTCAATCGTTCTAGCTTCTAGCTGCCATCATTATTCACCCCGGTTTCGTCTCAGACCCTCCACCTGGGCGTTGACGTCTGAAGTCTATTAAGTACGTCTCCAAGCCCCAAAATATTTGTTACTTGATTGTATCGGTTTCAGGGTGGAGTTTACATTAAATTCTTGAAAGCTCTAACTCGTATTCAAAGACCCAAGTATGATTGACAAAATCAGAATCAGGAAAGGTCAGAGTTCACTATTCTAACAGAATAGAATTAGACACTAAGATATCACGTGTTCGGTAGACATGGAAGCACTCCATTGCTTCATCCCCAAAAACCAATCCACTTAATGCCCCCAAGGCCCTTTCATTTTGGCAGTTAATAGAGGAGTAAAATGACGGGCTGTAACACTGAAAGGATTAAAAGTTCTGTTGATAATTTGCCTAATGAAATCTTGGCATTCCCATCACCTCTTTTTTGGATAAATCGACAGACAACTATTTTTCCTCCAAACGGTATTGTCGGAGAAGGGGTAGTAGGGACCACATTCGAAGCTGGGGCAGAAAAAAGGATCTTTGAATTTGTGTCAGGACTTGCCAAGCCCCTTGAAATCCCTTAAAATACTTCATTCTCAATGTGCTAAGATACAGCCGTATGGCCGCGCCAGCTCTGATGGGTGGAAAGAGCACAGTGGTTTTGTTTCTCCCTTTTTGGGAACTGTTTCAACCATAATACCACCCTTTAGAGCCCGATTTATCAAGTATCCTGAAGTATTTGGGGCTTTGAAAGCATTGAGGAATGGTGCTGATGGGCAACTAAAGTGAATCTGGTAGGTGAACACGGAAACTAGTCTTAGACTTGAGCCTTTCCAAGTGATAGTACTAGATCCTTTAGGTAGACAAAAAATAATTTCCCAGATTTCGAGTTGCTGTAAATAGCCCAAAACTACGGAAAGGTAGCGTGACATGACAATTAGTGTCAATGGCATGTTATTTTGTGGAGGCACTGTTGAATGTTTTTCCTGAAGAAAAGCACTAGCACACACTACACCTTTTGTGCCCAGTGGAGTTGAATGCTTCTAGACGGCCGGCTTGAGAGCATTGTCACGGCACTCATGTGCAAATCTGACATGCCACACTGCCTTGATATAAACATCAATCACTCAACTCTTAAAGTCCGCCATTTTGTTTGACGAGTACAAATAAAATCTCGCATGTCGAGTTGTCATGATCGCACAACTCGATATTGTCGCACCCCGAGTTGACCGGCGTGCAGAAGACCTGAAAACCTATAAACACGGAGGGATGCCAGTGCCATCAAAATTCTGGTAGAATCAGTGGGATCTAAAGAATCAGCGTAGCTAAGCATGCTTAATCAAACAAGGCTCTTTTTGTGGCATATCCACCCTTCAAAGATAAGGAACTATTCCAATTGTTCCACTGTGCAACTTTATATTCCAACAGGCGTAAGAGAGACCCATTTCCACCTTTTGCTTTGGGAGTCCTCCCTGATTCTTTTGACTTCGTCCAAGCATAGTGGGCGCAAATTTTTGCTGTACACACCACACCACATTGTGCTGACCACTTGATGCCTCCCTGTCCATTTTGATGTTGGCAAATTGAATTCGCCTTCAGGGCTGCCAACTTCGCCTCGACGGCGAGACTACTCGAATGCCACAGTTAGGTTCCACACGCGCATACACGACATCCTACGTCCGGCTCCGAGTAATAGGTTGAAATTTTGGGGGACAAATTGAACGGGTAAACGAGATTTATCCATTTCATTCTTGGATTATTGCTTTGCCTACTTGGTGGAGGCAATATGCGACCGCAATTATCCTTGATCTTCATTAAAAAAATTCATAGTGGAGTCCCAAGTACGTGTGGAGATCTGAATAGCAAAGCATCAATACCGACGATGATGATATGATAATTCAATAAGTAGCCATGCTGAAAAGGGTTATTTGTAGCATAGCTATGATCCAGATAACGTTGGATTAACTAGGCGTTCAAATCAATCCGAGCCTCCATAGTTGGCGCCCATAAGCACAAATGTCACCATCGTGGTGCTGTACTCTGCAGTAGGCGATACTCGGGGCTCATTTGATGGACGAGTCCAGGCCTCGTTAACCAAGACGACCGGAAACAGTTGGAACAGCTTGTAGTTTCTCTCGTATGAACGCATAAAACTCGAGACAGCGGAAATCCACTCTCGGTGGGATGGTGTGACACTCAGTCACATCAGGTCACTTGACCGATGTAAATGTTTTAAGGAATGCAACCTGCCTTTCAACGAGGCTGCATAAGCAGTAAATCTTCCTTTGGTAACGGTGAACACTTAAAAATTTGAAAAGTCAAGTCAGACTGGGCGTCGAGGCAACCGATGGCGAGAAGGCTCTGCAGCACTGCATTAAAGGCTACCAGGTGTTGGTTAGAGGTTGAGATGAGTGCAGCAATAGTGGATCCTGTTAAAAAGATGCAGTCCTCATCCTTCAATTTGCCTTGAAATCTCCTCATAAAAACTGGAAGGCAGAGGCCTCGAAAATAATCCTGTGAATGAATTAAAGAAAGCATCTTTCGCAGGAGCGATTAATCTGTCTAAAGATGCTAAAGTCGCATTGACACAAAGACAATCCTCAGTCCTAGCAGTTTCTGAAGGCTCGAAAAGAGGAAAATAAAATCATCAGCGATGATATAATTTAATAAGTACCCGTAGTGAAAACGCGCGCGATTGACTATGGAAGATATGGAGGAGGTGGGAAGGGGGTAGGTTAGGGAGAGGGGTCGAATAAAAGCGAGAGAAGAAAGGAGGAGAGAAAATATGAGATCATCGTGCTAGTCAACGATTGCATAAATATTTCCACTCCTTATTTCAAATGGAAGTCGGGGGAAGGAAATGAGGGGAGAAATAGAGAGTGAAAGAGACATGCAACGCAGATTGTCAGTCAGCCAGACGACGGTCAATCAGTCTTTCGGTTTGTAGATGGGTAGGGGAGAAGTAGGATCAAAAGAAGGGATTGAGGCTGTGTTGCTGCTGCGGCTGTGATTGTTGTGGGGCACCGGTAGAGGTGGGAGCTACTTGACCGGGGAAGAATGTAGGTACGGAAGTCATAAAAGGAGCGCATTGGGCTGGGAAGGAGGTGAAAGCTAAGGCCGATCGGTCCCCTAGGGCGGCCAATGCGGTTCCGTTTGCGGCGGCACTCAGTTGATTTAACGACGGCTTCGGCGGTTGGTTTGCACTGAAGGGGTTCGTCGAATGTCCCGTCAGTGGACGCGTACTCGTCGCGAAGGGATTTGTGGAGGCTGATAAGGAGCAAAAAGAAAAAAATACCGAGAAATAGTCGGCGAGGAATACTCAAATAAAAGGGTAATCAGGAGGCACGCATATGGGGGGTGCAAACAAACCGAAAATCGTCGAACGTCCTGAAAGGGGCGTAAAGAAAAGAAAATCTGAAATTAATCTAGGCAAAAGAGGTAGAAAGAAAGCTGGAAAATAAACAAACCAGGATTTCGATCGACCAGTTTCTCCAGGTCCACGAGGCCCTTGTGGTCTCCCAAGAAGTCAGCAGGTGTACGTTTTCGCGTTGGTGTGACCGTCGTTGCGGGTGTTGACGGTGTCGCTGCATTGTCCGATGAGGTAGCGGACGCCGCAGTCGGAGCCGTAGTGGTGGCAGTGGTGGTGACAGCGTTAGCAGTAGGACCAATGCCGAAACCAGGGTTGCCACTGCTGCTGTCGCCGTTCTGAGCTAAAGTAGGGGCAGTGGAAGGAAGGGCTGCCTCGACAGGGTCCAGTGCAGCCCAGGGATTGTTGTTCGCAACTGGAACAGTGTGTGAATGCTGGGATTGCAGAGGATCTGTATAAAGGAACAAGCAGTAAGAACGCACTGATCACGTGGCTTAACATTAGTAATGGTGACAAGTTTTGCAATGAATGTGATTCATTTGCGCAGCCGGTTACAAAAATCCGTTTCAAGATGACGATAGCACCACTTTTAATATCGAATAAAAAGAAGTTAAATGAAATTCTTCAGAAAATGTAATAGGCAGTCATTTCAAGGTCACGAAGCCAAAAAAATTATAACAACCTCCTGACTACACAAGACTGCGTCAGCCTCCTAGACAAAAGGAAAAAAAGTAGAATAAACACTAGACTAAGGTTGAAAACCGGGCGTCTTTATAAAAGATAGCTACAGTTCATTTAGAAGGTTTTTACTTCAATTCAAGTAATACAAAACCATTTTCAGGCACCAGAAGATTACAAGGTGTCACGACCAAGTGAACCAAATACTTGAAGGTCGGCGCGGTGACAATATTTGCTTCCTCGGTGGCTACTGGGAAAATGGGTTCAAAAAAGGATCAACATCCATAAAATAAACAGCTTAGCTACTCATGAAAAAGAACCGGTTCAAACGATGTCAATTTGGTTATCTTATAGCATTGTATTAACCACTTCAGGATGCTGAGGTGTAAGGTTGGGTAAATGCAGCAGTGAATGGTGAGAGTACAAGCGAGGGCCTTTTGCCGCAGTTTGGGTATTGCGTATTCAATTGCAAAAGGAGTTTGCACACGGCATTAACATAAAATCCACATTGCCTCCTCACAATTCGCAATTTTGGAAAAAATTACTTGGTCAATTTTGGTTTATTCCCATTCGATTGTCTTTACTGTGTGTGGCTAGCAAAGTTGCAGGGTGCAGAAGTGCAAGACTAGACTGGTAAGAACGCAATACTACTGACTGGCAAAAATGTCATTTTTAGGCGATGGTAGTCTCTCCTTCAGTCAAAATACTGCAAAAGGCAGACACACTTCAGACGAGGGTAGACCTGGTAAAATTTGTATTGCTACCTCATGGGACTAGAAGGTGTGTCTCAAAGAGGCGCTAAACTTGAAATAGGGCGACTGTTTACAAGGTGGACGCACCCTTGGGAGTCCAAGCGGAGTCAATGAGGCTGAGTTGATTTCCAACACCACCACTGCTGTTGGTGTTATTTGACTGGCGGTAGGCGGAATTGTTGAAGGGCAAGGCAGCGGCGACAAGGGCATTGCTGTGGTCGCTATTACTGGGAACGGTGGTAGGGACAATGGTAGACCAAGGATCGGGCATGTTGGCCGGCGCAGCAGAGAGTGACGTATCGATCAGGCTGAAGAGACCGCCTCCATTGCCCGTCATTGAGGCGGAGCCACCACCCCCAGTCGAGTTAGCCGCCGAAATGAGCGAGGAGGCCGCTGCTGAACGGCTCTGCAGAAAGGCGAAGTGTAACAGAGGTGAAACACGATCGAATATCGGTTCATGTGACTTCAGTGAATGTGACCTTATCCATGGGCCAAATTCACAGTCGTGCTCAGTTTCGGTCATGTGTGCTTCACTGCACGAGTTCTTTCAACATGCCGAGGTAATGGGGGAGTGGATGCCTGCCCACGTAACCCATAAAACACGACAATAAGGCCTCCTCACACTGCTTTACCTCACAGCAAAATAGCTTGGGCACTTCAATTTCCTAGTTATAAGCCAGCACAAAAAAAACAAATACTGAAAGTAATGTAAGGCCTAGTGTCTGTAATGAACTAACAAAAGGGGAGCAAAAATTAATGCAAGAGAACGCATTACGAGGGCGAAACGGCATGGATGACAAAGTTAATGGGTAAATTGACAGGAAGGAAAAAAAGCAGTATTTCCAGTGCTGTGATACTCTACTGTGTTCTGTAGCCATACCGATTATCCACAGCAGATAATCAAGGCATGTAAGTAATAGCATAATGTGTCACGGAATTGTTGGATTAAGGTCACTTTCTGCCATTAATAAAAGTGACCTCGCTTCGCATTTCAGCATTCAATCATCACCATCATCATCATCATCATAAAAAATCAGTCCATTTGGCTACATGAACTTTTCATTCTTCCTCAATTCAGCAGCCACGATGGTGGCATAGAGCTGCGCCCACGTCATCCTGGCTAATGGACCCAGAAAACGTGCAAGAGCCAGTGCGCAAATTGACTAAAGGAAAAAGAGCAAGGAATGCTTTTTTGCTACTACGAATGATGAATCAATGCCTCGCTCTAGCTTGAAGTTAGATTGAGTGCTTATGCACACAAAGGCTACACGCCTTAGCACCAAGGTGCATGAAAGAGTAGACCTTTTCTTGGTTCGTTTTTTTTGTTCTACCTTGCGCAAAAGTAGTCGCATGGCAGCAGTAAACAAGGCCACGCTTAGCAGCTTAGTGTCATATCACGTCACCTGGAACTGAAACTGCATTTCCTCCAGTCATATATGCCCTTAGAACGTCGACAATTCAGCGATTATGCAGTTGATCTGGAGTCCCATTCATGTCACTACTACTAGTCTCCTAGCTCCGTGGTGCATTCATAACAAACCTGCAGGCCATACGCCTTCGGTAATGATGCAGACAGTAGAGTCTTGCCTCCAATGATCGTTCATGCATATCACAACAACAATTTGTGCCAGCAACTAAAAACTTGGTAAGCTCTGAAAACAAGGGCCATTTTTATGTTGTGGGCTGAGTTATTTAGGGGACTAAGGTCATCATTCTGAAATTGATAAGCACAATCCCTCCTAGCACATTCGGACATCGTGTAACTCATACTGTGTCACAGAAGTACGCGAAATTCGCACACCAGAAGTAGATCATCCTAGTCACTCGTTTGTGCGGCACCTGCATACCGTGGGACAAAAGCGAAGCGCGGTGAAAACAAAGTCGGGAATCACATCTAACAGCATAGTCTACTCCCTCTCGCAAAAAAATGCGAAGCACTATTTGGTGGACGATGAAATGTGACCACTGCATAGAGGAGCGGTTGACCTGACCTCCGGCTTGCTAAATCACCAAGCGCCCATGCAAGCGTGGCAACAGCTTTGGTGTACGCGGGTCAATCGATTCCTAAGGGGTCTCGTCGGCATTAGAAATGCGCCAAGATGTTGTGGATAAACAAGTCCGTACGTACAAATGTGTATGCGTGAGCGAGCGATAGGACCAACACGTGCGTCGATGTGAATGTGCAAGAGATTGTGGCTCACTCATCTTGGCCCGAGAGGCTGCGTGATAATGTGCGCAATTCTCGACGCCACGGTGTCACACATGCACAATCATTTTTGCAGGCATTGACAAGAACTGCTCCGTGAATTGATAGACGTTTTCGCTCTCTCTCTCTCTCTCCCTCTCTTGAATGCCTTGCAACGGCTTTAGCGATAGCTTGGTACACTAATAATGATTGGAACGTTGACGATTCCACGCCATGAGCCTCATAATCTTTTCCATTGCGTAGTGAATTAACTATCATCCCACAAAAACGAGTGATTGTTGTAAAGAAGCTATTAATAAAAGTTCAAAGTCCTGCAATTGCTAGTCGTGGAACCCTCCACATTACCAGCCACTGTAATGTTCTCACGTGTAGCTTACTCACTACATACTGGGTAAACGTTCAACATCTAACTTGGAGCGATTACTGAATGACTGAATACGCCGAAAATGCTGGTTATGCGCGAGAGGTAATAAGAAAAGAGGAAGGGAGGGGAAACTGACCTGTTCCTCGCGCTTGCTCTGCTCCAGGACCATTTGAAGCTTCAGGGCCTCCTTGGCCTCCTCCTCGTGACGTTTCTGCAGCTCGCGTTCGTGCTCCTCCTTGCTGATGGCGAGGGCCAGTTGAAGCTGCAGTTGCTCCTCCGTGTAAGACTGCGGTTGCGCAGAATCTAAGTCACTCGATATGCCACCTATTGGAGCAGGGAGGCAAGCGAAGGATATCATGAATGTAGAGTATTCTACTTATTCATCATAGAGGATAACCAAAACGTTGGGCTGGTAAATATAAAATGCATGAGAGCCTTGAACGGGAACTATCTGTGTGGGAAGACGGTGTTTAGTGGCTGCTTGAATTGTGTAATCACATGCACAATGCACACCGACCAAGTACTCTTGGTTTTGAAGTGCATTCTACGAGTTCGTCCCAAGCGGTCTGGATCAAGAGTGAAGCAAAGGTACCACTTTAATGCAGTTTTGTCAATAAATAGTAAAGAAGCCTAGAAGATGGGGGCCGATGAAAGAGGAAAAGACGTTTTCACAACAATGAGGGTTTTGTTTTGAAGACTTGGCAAATGAAAGGTGCAGAGCAAACTTTTAAGAGGCTGTTGCTGTTTGTTTTGCACGATGGAAACAATTCAGCCCTTCACTCTATCGAAACCTGCCGCTAATGCCACCACAGCTAACACACTTTTCATCTTTCATCGTTCATTATGGAATGATGGCTACCCACCAGAACAGAAAGGTTTTCACAGTAAAATAGTTAGTTTACGTTTTCTCATAAACAGATTCCTTGCCAAATAGCCATTTTTGCTTGTCCCTCCGATTGTCTATGCTAATATGCCAGCTCCTTTTATGTGTCTCGTACTCGAAAACAACACGAGATTGATTTTGCGTAAGCAACTGCAAATGACATAGCTTTAAAATGGAGGCGTGACACCCACTTTTATAGGCAGAGAAGTATGCCTTAAAGGCAGAGGGTAGATGGCAGGCAGAACCGCGTGATTCGAAACGATGCGTATCACAATTTTTCTCATCATGCCTTCATCAAGGCCAATGGTGAGGCATCGCCACAGTGACCAAGTGATAAAAAAACAGTCGAAATGAAATGCTGGAGGGGACGTAGCAGTCAGAAAATAGGAAATGCAATGAGGCAAATGAGGAAATTTGTTACCCAGATTCACTTCCTTAATAGGCACTGCCAAGTGAAGTAAATAATCCAAAAAATAAAAATCAAGTCCAAAATTAAAGTCCCTAACTATTAGTCCGTATACTAGAATGCCTAGAATAGCGTGTCATAATTTTTGGTCAAAATCTGCGTCTTTTTCTATGGCAAAGCCAAAATCTTAAATTAATTTTTTTAATGGATTGAGATGCTTTGGAGAGAATAGAACAGTTACACAGACCTGACAGGCGCATAGTGGAAGTAAAAGCTACAATGGTCTCGAGGTAAAGCCAATGTCACCTGTCACCGGGGTAACTAGAGATGTGGAATCGCCTCAGGCGAGGTCAGCCCACAAACACACATGAAGCATTGCTTTAGCGGGCTGCATAAATTTCACATGAGTACACGAATGCTAGTGCACATACACACACGTTTTGGATAAACATTATACTGTCAGCCGGGCGGACCTAAAGGTCTTCTGACGATCAATGATCACAAACGTGATAAACTTTTGTGTGGAACAAAGTAGCGCGACTCGGATCTTAAGATCAGCAAGAATAAGATACGGGGCAGGGATTCAGTGGATAGACACCTTGATGTCCACCCGGGAGAACCAAAGGATCGCCTTACCCGGTCGTTCCATCGACTGATACAAGTGCTTTAACTTCTCTAACAAGGCACTACAGCTGAAAAATACACCCACTATCCGTATTTTGTGAGATATGATGTCCACAACAAAGGGATACAGCTGTTTTCTAATGGAAATGCTACCATCGTGTGAAAAATTTTAGATCTCTGAGGTGAAATTCATCGGCTTTAAGTCTGCGCCACTTTGAGACTACAGTAAGACGGTTGATACAATTCCAAGCATTAATTTAATGCAGCACACATTAATTAGGGATGGGAGACGAAGCAGCGTTGCGCGACGGCGAAAACAACCATAACCGTGGGAGCACATACCGCCATTCATAACGTTTGAGATGAGTGGGTAAATAGAAGGTCTCACAACAACAAAGACGAAGCAGACTAGAAAATAGGTGAATTTGGTATCCCAGTAAAGTGAATAAAATTAAAGAGCGACTTATGACAAAAAAAATGCACCTCAAAGAGACAAACTTAAAGTGCTCCTTTTTTGGATCCCCGCAGGGTTATGCGCATTACCACCACGGTGCAGATCTGAAGGGTTATCTTACTTCGTGTCTAATGCAAGTGTCTAAACCTCACCAATGCTGTATCCCCACTGCGTGACCTTTTGTAAAGACATCACAGCTGACGGAGGAATTCAAGTTAGCATACATCATTTTTGCAATTAGATATCTCCAACGGAAGGTGGAGCTACAGCCCCCAATGAAAGTAATACTAGTTCTTCATAATGATAAAAAAGCAGACACGATGAATTTGTAAAATATTAGACTCAAAAAAAACTGGGTCACCCGACACATCTCTACTTCATTAATACTCCATTGGATTGGCACCAAGAAGTAACAATAAACACTTCCACACGATGGCGAAAACAGGTGTAACCTTAAAAGTACATGCCGCATAAAATGACTGGGATGGAAAGACAAAAATAATGCTTTACATAACAAATAAGGGTACACAGACTGGTAGCATGAAGACAAAGACCTTCGTAGGTAGTACCGGATACAGAAACTAAGCAGAAAGAAGCCAAGAATAGCGTATGTCACATACTCAGGGAGAGGATCTTACGAAAAAGATACGGGAAAGTCGGGCTACCTGGTCGTGATAGTTAACATAAAGTACAGAGATTTCCCACTTCCCAAACCTGAAAATCAAAATCACATACGAAGGGTTAACTTTGGAGGGGTACAGTTGACATGTGAGTCGTAACAAAAAGGTGAGAAATTTGTGCTTATTGGGAGAAATTATAGCGCACTTGTTATATGCTACAAAAACTGCCAGATTTTACATAGAAAAAAAAAACGACTCTATAAAGACTCGAACCCCCGAGTTGTTCATAAACGTGCGTACGTTAGGAAGGATGACACTCAAGAAAGGTAAGTGGAAATTTAGGGAAAAAGTTGTCCATGATTCAATGTTATTTCATCGAAAAGGGAGGATAATGAGTCGGAGTACTTTTAGCAAGACATAACTGCTACAAGTGGATTTTGCAAACACATCTAGGCCCATTTCCCACGACACGAAGTGCTTACAATACGTACAGCAAGAGCAGCGCTTGGGCGTAACAGATAATTCCGCGTTGACAGCTCTTGCACACTCAGTGTTTGATATGAAAAAAGTAGAAATCAGTAGCCACAAGGCCCCAATGTCATGACATAACCCGTGTCAAAGCATGCGAGTACATGCAGATAACGACCGCAAAAATCGAACGGGCGTCATTTCCAGAGCACTTTAAGGTTGGTGATACGGCTTAAACAAAAAAAGAAGTTAATACGAAATACTGGTTTTCTGTGCAGTACTGAACCATCCAATAATTTTACGTGGAAAATCTCTTGACGTGTGAAATGGAAAAGTGTAAGTGTGATGGTAAAGGAGTGGATACACAACGTGAATCCGAAGAGACAAATGCATTTCGTATACAAAATATACTAGTCCTTAAATAGACGTCGCATTCTTGAGTTGTCAAGATTTAAACGATTATGGTTCACCTAAAGATGAAGTGAAGTGAATAGACTTTAGGTCATAGCGAATTCATTCACTATAAATAAGGAAGCTATTACTGAAATCTGACAGTTAGTATTTACACGAGATTAAACAGAAATTAGGCAGCAGAAACACTCAAAGGTGGCCGATGCTTGTGAATCATCCCACTAAAAGCGATCCCCGTCAGGAAATTTGAAGCAAAAGAACTATTCTAATCATGTAATGTTAACTCTGTGATTCGGTGTCCAAGCTGGTGGCGTGAAACTCTCCCCCACGTCATTTATACCACAAATCACCTAGCCAACCGTATGTCTGTATTCAGATTAATTCTAGACCTTTGCGTTGTTTAACGACTCCAAAGGCAACCCAGACATCACAGATGGCCACTGCAACCCAAGAGGCGACACCCACACATGAAGCACAGAGCATACGCAAACCTAACAGACGACAGTGCGTTCGAAATGTCGCGTCTTGTGAATCGCCGACCCTGAAGACTAAATTCCAAGAGGCGACTTTCAAGCATGAAGCAAGTATAAGAAACTGTCACAGCAAAAATGACACTGTTATTCCGTGGATGACATTCACTACGCTTGATGAAGTTCAAATTGAACAGAACTTAAGCCGTAACAATGATCCAAATACTTTATTTTGTAAATCGTTTCCCGGAAATAGCCCATCTTTAAAAATAAAGGGATTAATGATCTTCAAAAGATTGCACTCAGAGAGACTGTGAAAGGAACAAAACGCAAGCTACGGCAAAGCTATCAAAATCTCGGCGATTATTGTGTTTCGAAAAAAGGGCACAAAAACACGAAGGACAGGGGACAAAATGACCAGGACTTAAAGTACAGCAATTCTTAAAACCATTTCAACACCTCTTTCTACCATCAGTGAAGAAGTGGCCACTGTAATCTGAGAATACGGAGGTATGAAACTAGACAGATGAGAGGAAGAACAAAGTATCGTCTCTTTTTAATCAATGAATTGAACGGACTCACGATAAATGAAGCGGCTGCGGTAATTTGAGAATGCCAAGTCACAAGTCTGAAAAAGTTCACGCTGAAAGTCACCGAGAAATCGAGAAAAAGCCTGTCAAAACCACACAAAGTTCGGAGTGAAATGGTTGCTACAATTTAAGAGTGTGAGAACGTAAAACAAGCCGAATAGTAACGCTCCAAAGGTCGCATAACTTGAGAATCGCTGCCTCAAACGCGTTTCGGCAAAGCAGCTACGGGAGTCTAAGAATACGTGATCACAAATGCGCATATTAGACGAGATAGCCTACCGATAGCAGCGGAGAGTGAGGAGGGCTGGGAAGAGGGACGGCGATCATCACCGAAGGTGGAACCAGCTCGGGTGAAGGGGAGCGAAGGAGAGTAGACAGAGGCAGCGGCGGCGGAGGTCCCGAGGGCTCCACCATGCATGAGACGCTCGCGAGCAAGCAACGCTTTTCCACGCTCTTCCTGGAGTCGTTCTTCGTCGCGCAGCAGCGAATTCAGACAACGCGCCTTTTCACGCACACTGTTTCCCACGTCCTTGCCGTCCTCCACATAGTAGAAGTCCTGCAGGTCCACAAACCAACCAACTGCGTCAGCTTCCCTCTACCTCACTCGCCCTCTAACCTCCACATGCATATAGATCACCATTGGGTCTCCCATACGGAGGGAATCACAGATGATTGGTCCCTATTCTCCGTCAGAGACCCATACAATTAAAGAAGTTATTCAACGATATTTGAAATTTTCTACATTACCTGACCTCTCACATGTATTACTGTCAAGCCTCTTGAAGAGGGAAAGCGTCAATAGGCTTGGATCGTTTACTCCTAACATGGGACCTCTGCTTCATGTGTGATTTTGTTTTCAGCAGAGCTAAAAGGGTTTATTCTAAAGCGAATGACATATGATTCGGTGCAACATTATAAATACGCTATCGTGTGGTGAATAAAGAATAAATGTATCGAGATTCACCTCTTGTTAACCTTTGGCTACATCACAGAACAGATTACTTTAGCAGTTGAGCACCTAAGTGCATTAGCTTTTCCTGCCTCATTCTTTTTCTCATGCACGCAGACGTTATGATTACGCTCCTTGTAGAGGAAGAAGCAGTTAAAAACTGGCCTATTCCAATTCAAAAAACCACGCAGGCCAATTATCCAACTGGGTCGGTGTCTTGCACACATTCAAATAGGAATGCGCAGATATGTACTCCGTTTTACCCATGGAAAATCGGTGGGTAATCAAATGATAATTAGCGAATCTCAATGCAAAAATAGGTGCCCCTAGTGTATTAAGATGAATGTTGATTCTAAATCAATTGATGTAAGACCCAGTTTGAACAGATAAAGGGATGGTTTCACTTTAGACTACCTTGAAGCAGAGAACTTGTCGACCAAGCCCACATCCTACTGACAGCAGTTTTGTAACGAAAAAATAATCTGGAACAAGAGGGGAAAAACACATCACTGTCGACAAAAATGCATAGAGATTACTGGTATTTTGGAAAAACGATTCCAGGGTCAAAACCTCAAATAAAGTTTATATGTCACTTGGGCAAAAGGTTTTTTTAGTTAAGAAATTGTGAAATAAATGAAATAGCCCGGAAAAAGTTACAAAATCTGATAAGTCGTCAATGATTTGAAGATTAAGGAAGATGTCAGCAACAGAATGTTTGCAGACATGGGCGTAACAAAAAGTTTTCCGCCACTGTGGAGAAACCGAAAAAGTCAAACTAACTGTCCGGTCACCTCCACGTGCCTCTTTTCAAGGAGTGGCGTAAAGCTAATCCGCAAACTTGGCTGTGCCCTTGGCAGATTTAAAAGAACAATAGCCTTAGAAGAAAGACTAAAAGCATTTGCATGAGGTACTACAATGAGGAGGATCGCTGGTACCTCGGACAACGTTGAGGAGGGGACTACTTTCAGTAATTGAACGCGTGCTTTAACAGAAGGTCTGGACATGAAATTGCTGATATCCGCCGAAGAAAAAACCGAATGTTATGCAAGTGAATGTTGAATCGGTAAGGGCTTTCAATAAGAAAGGAAGAACATTCCCTTAAAAAAGTTCGAAATGCATAACTCAAGCATAGTTTAGACATTAACAATTTTAAAGAAGTTTTTAAAATCCTCAAAATAAATACCCATGTGACCAACGAAACACCGTGACATCTAGCAAAAACTGGGATAATTAAAAATTATGAGACATAATGCACAAGTTTTAAAAATTGTGTTTCAAATACTACCCTCGGTGTTTAGCAAAATGGGATCGGGTAGAAGCACGATTTGAAGGGGCTTTGTTTACAAAAAATATCCATGTCAATTTATGCGTTACTCGCAGTTCTCACCCAAGCTTTGGACAGAGCCCTATAGTGAAAAGTTTAGGTGTTTATAAAATTCATTATTAGTAAAATACTACTGGCATGATAGATATTATTTACACGAATTTGGAACAAGAAACAAGCAATGGAGACGATAAACCCAACAAATACAGACTAGTAGAGGTATGGAAAGGAGAGCTAGGCAAATAACTGTTCAAGATATTTCACACATAACTCTAATAGGTGAGAGCTATTTTTGAGGAGCCCACAAGTCCTAGTGAATAGTGAGACCATTACTATGTATTAGAGTTTACAACCGACGAGATTTGTGAAACAAAAGCTGTAATTCTGCGACCTTAAAGTCAAAGCAACAGGTGTCTTCTACTTTAGTTGTATGAGCCCAAAAAGGTAAAAGCCAGATTGGAATATAACACGAATGACAGAGTACTCCGCGCTTTGAACATACAAAATAGCCAAAATCAAATCTCCTACAATATCCAAGGCTTACCATGAGAGTTTCGATGGCGTGTATGTTCTCCCTACATTGAACTGCAACTTTATCACTGCCCGTTTTTATAATATACTCCAAGAGAATGAGAGCTTTATAAACGTGCCTCCAATTTTTGCTCTTGTCATTTAACCTCCTCCAAATCATCTGCATAATTTCAGTGAATGCGATAACGTTGTACGTTCTATCCGCAATCTCAGACATTAGTGTGCTACTTGGACCCCATGGATCATTTGAAGTAGCCTCACGTACTTTCCGTTCCGCTTCCGTATAATTGCGAACAACATTTTTTATGTGGCGCTGAAGAGGCATCATCTTGAAGGCTTCAAATGTTACTGTTCAGGAATACTTAAAAATCACAGAGACGAAAAAGCAAAAACGGCAATTCCTCACAAGCGAATACGGCGGGCACAATGTCCTGCTTCTCATTGGTTCGTATACATCATTCACTTTATCTAGGAAATGTAAAACATAAGTTTAGACTTCTTATGATATTTTAGTTTTGTGTGAAGGCAAAGCATCTAAACCAGGAGGTAATATTAGTAAATTAAGTACAAAATGCATTTTGTGTTTGCTTTTGGCCTTAAAGTACTGCTAAATAAAATATCAATGGTGTCCAGTACAAGAATACGCAATGGCAAAACTTAGCATGATATAACCTGAGTATCTTGTAATTCCTTTCCAATTTGAGTGAAGGATTGTATGAACAACTTAGGCAGCAATAGAAATGATACTGAAAATCTGTTTGATAGAAATAGACTAATACTTGTAGATAACTTGTATTACTGTATTGACTCTACTCTTTGACTATACCGCCTCTTTAGACTCCCCGACTTGCACCGTTGCTCTGTAGCATGGTTCTTCTAGCCTTCCTGACTTTAATAACTCAGGCCGTGTACCGTTATAGCTTAGCACTGCTTCATGAAAGCCTTCAACCATCGTACCAGGGGCAGTGACGAACAAACCAGCTACAGAGTGACAGCTAACCTGATCTCTCCGACAGCTATCTCAGTGTCAACGTAACAGAAGAGCTAAGCCTGCGAGAGGAGTTAATCCGACACCCACCTTCGACAAATGCTGTAATTTCGTGCTCTGTGTGGAAGGGCAATGACAGCTTAGGCGACGACAAACCTGAAGGACGAGGGAAAATTCATAGAGGTGCCCACCGCACCCACCCAGGAGACATGAATCGCGCGGACAGGTGAGGCCCTCCCCACCGTCCCTATTAGCTAGGTCGAGCCCACTTTTGGCCACTATCACTTCCATTACACACATACGAATAAAACCAGTGTTACGTAGGATTAAGGAAGACTAATACAAAGGAATATAACAAATACAAATAAGAGCGAAGATAAATGACTAGTTTCCCGAGGATTCACGAGGTGGTATGGCCTCAATCCCGAGTCTCTGAAGTCCCTGAAATTAATCAACAAGAGAGATTCAAGTGCTTTGTGTTAATCCGGTAAAGTGCATTAAAGGAAGAAATCGCCCAAAAAAAAGAAATTGCTTTGACTCAACTACTTACTGAGAGTCATTACGAGTGAGTGCTGGGAAATGGGAACTACGTCTGCTTCACTCTACCCACTTGTTTAACCCTACATGCATCAAATACTCGACTTACTATCGAAATTCACTTTTAACACAAAAAAGCTATTCAGCAGTACTCCCATATTACAAGCTTCACTCATTGAACAACCACTTTGAAGCACGTGTTGTAACAGAGGGGCCTTTACAGGCTTTCCCAGCATTTGAGATAATTTGGTAAGGCGAGCTCCCAATTTCATCTCAAATGAAAAAAGTGCGTTCTTTGGCATCAAAAGTCACCATTTTCCTATCATTTATGCGCCCTTATGCTTGCAACTTATGCGTTCTGAAGGAATGCATAAACTAGTATTCATGGTTTCGAATTATACCGCACTTTTACAAAAAATTGCGTCGAATTGGCCATCAGAGGATTGGTTAGTTGCTCTGACTGAAGAAATCCCAATTCGATTGGGATTGAGGCTGTCGCAGTACCCGATATGGGGGTGCTTGTGGTGTTAGTGGTGGCGGCTCTCATAGTATTCGCTGTGGAGGTAGCGCCCCGAGTCTCCTTCGCATCAACCATCAAAGCCTCCTCCTTCACCCGATTTTCATGGTGTAGGCGTTGCACTTCACGGAAATGCACTAATAAAGCGTTGAAATCCACTTTGTCTGACCGGGATGCAGCACTAAGGTGGGAGAAACAATCACTTTAGAACTGAAAAGACTGAGCAGTTTCGAAATGAATGGGTAATGGTAGAATAGTGGGTGAAATGTAGGTGACTCAAGAATGAATAAAGAAATGAATTGTCAATGAATAAAGGCTAGAGGGAGACACCTCATGGGTTGGTTGAGGATGTGGCTGGGGAGACATTGAAGCCGACGCCTGAGAATATCAAAAGCCTCAGTTTGGGGAAGACACATGAGGAGGCAGTAAAGAGTCTCTTGCAGTGCTGGACTGTATCTCTTGTCAACAAGATGCAGCCGAAGTCCTGAAGCACAGAGAAACGGGAGATAGCGCAGCCAACGACGAAAATAGATAGGCCCTTCAAATTAACACACTTGCAAAGACGGGAGATTCCAACAGCTGGATTAGACGGTCCAACTCCACAAGGACCTCCACGGACATGGCCAGCTCTCCGCTAGAGTGGATAGGCAGTTAAGGAAGAAAATAAAAGTTAGAAAAGAGAATCAGGATAGAGGTAAACTGAGTGAGTAGAGAAACGATACAATGACTTGACAATCTCGCAACAATGTGTGTAGTTCCGTGTCAAAAGACAGAAGGCGAGAAGAGCCACGGGATTGTGACACCAGGCACGATAGAGCTCCTTGAATAATTCTGCATCCTTCTGAAAGCAGAAGAGTCATTTGGGGACGTGATAAGGGCAAAAATTTCTTACATTAAGATCAATCGTGTAAAGATACTCGCGGAAGTCGAGGACAGAGGGTTGAGTAAGGAGAATCTGGTTGAGTGTCTGCACGATGATGAAGGCCTCTTTGGGCTTAAGGAGGTTGGATACGATCAGGGCCATCATATAGTAGACAGACTTGGCGCCCAGTGCCAAGCAGAGATCGCTGTGTCAAATGTGCATTGAGGGCAGAAAAGCAAACTTTTATTGTAAGTAGTGGAGAAGTATCACTAATGTCCGGTCGACCCCTAGAGCAAGATATACCACAGTGATGTTAAACTTTTCGTTCTGAAGTGATTCATTTGGGTTTCCCTGATTCATCAGAATGAAAGGAGCAAAATGTTTAAATTGCGTCTACCAATTTGGTTATTTGCGTTTTCTACGAACAAGTTGACTTGTTCATAAAATCTTACAATCGCATTACAGGGGGAAAGAAGAGATCCGGAAAAATTTGAGCAAAATTGTGAGTTTGGATAATCAAAGGTGTAAGTGCACTGTTGGAATCCTTAAGCCACTCGAAAGTACTTCACAAATGGTCGATTTCAGTATCAAAGCAAAAAGAAGGAGTTTAATCCCATTTTTAAAGTAGATTACACAATTCTTATAAGTGTTTGACAAATGTACCGCTCACCTGCTCAGCAAAATGGTATTATCCAAGATATGTCATGGTGTAATGATTTACCAAGATAGGAACAGTCGAACTAGAATGCTCCTCCGTAGTTATAAGGAATACATCGTCTAAATTCATGCCATAGACATGCCTTCGATGAATATTATACGGATGGAGGAGCAGTCATATTTCACGGACAATACAATCACATTTTGTGAGCAAACATATTGCTAGCTGTTGTGCCGGTAAGGTAATGGACAGGTAAGCAAAAGAATTTGAAGTGAATTTAGCACTAGGGGATTCAAAACCAAAAAAGAAAAAAGGAGTAATTCGATGAATAAATGAATGAATGGACGGGTGGATTGCGGAATGGACGGATGGATGAATGAATGAACCCACGGACGAATGAATGGGCAGAGGGCCAATTCATTACACCGATGTAAGAATAAATATACGGGCAAAGATACGCAGGAGATGGGCAGAAAAGTGAATAAATGGAAGGATAAGCAAATCAGAGAATGTATAAATCGCCGACGAGTGAGCGGGTGATTTAACGAGAGGACAGGTAAACAGTGAGATGAACAAATACCTAGGTGGACGGTTGGATGAATGAAGAGTTATATACATACTCACGTAATAATGAGGTTGCCCTTTTCACTAAGCATCTGAGAGTCATTGATGAATCGTTGAACAAGGTCATAGAGGAAACGCAGACAGAGGAGGTTGGAGCGTTCACGGTCAGCCGCGACAGCGTTGCAGAGGCTCGCTGGCAGCGCCACCGATCCCTTACGCACCAGACTAGAGAAGAGGCGCTGCACCGAGGCCCTATCGTCTCCTGACGCATGATGAGCCACTGGGTGCTTGCATAGGCAGCCCACGAGTGAGACAGTCGAGTGAACAACCTAACCAGTGAGCACGCAAGTGCCGCTCTTGATCATAGAATGGGCTTGCTGATGAAAGTCATGGATATGACAAGTTAAGCACGCTTCTATCTTGCTGAAAACGACAGTTTCGAAAGTACCGCAGTATTTGAAAATTTGGCACTTTAAACAGCGTACCAGTGTCACTGTCAAGTAAGCAATTCAGTCGAGGGTGCAGAGCACAAACAAAATGCAGCAGGGTGAGTTCTCCATCTAAACTGGGTGAATATAGTAACCTAAACGCAGATCCAGTTCAAGGATTTAACTTCTTAACGGCAGACAGTAATCTCATGATAATTGGACGCTTAAGCACGTGGACTAAAACTCTTTAAACAGGCTTATAATTTGTCAAGGTCTCTGCAAAAGTCGCCAAAGATAAAATTGACTTATTGGGGGTACACTCGACTGCAACTGATGGTAAGCGTTGCGGGAAACGCTGTTACTTCAATAGAGAGTCAGCTACGAAAAAAAAGCTATCTGCACGTAAATTAAAAGCGAACTTCCGACAAAACCGTAGAAACATTGAAAGATGAGCATAGAGCTCGCTCAGTAAAGAATGGAGCTTCTCAAAAGTGACTAAATACCACAGCATTTTGGCATTAAGTAACTCTAACAAGTTGGTAATTAAAGAGGAAACAAAGGAGAAGCGTTAATGGATGCAAAAAGGGTGGTGAAGATGCCCACGACCCCAGACAATGCTCCTGTTTCAATCTTTAGAAGCCCCCTTTTTCGCGGCTAGTTTTCGGATACTCTAAAAAGCTTCGAAACTCGCCCTCTTTCAAAAAGAGAAAGAGATTAGGCAAATTTGGAGTCTTTCATAGTTCCCCACATTGCCAATAAACCTACTCCAAAACTAGCATCACATTTCGATTGAAGAGGCAGTCACGAAAAACTTTCGGCAGCATACTTTAGCTGGTTTACCTCAACAGCGGGATCAGAGAGTAATTTGAGGAGTAGGGGCATGAGCTCAGCAGAGTTGGCAAAAACGGCCTCCGGGTTAACGGAAAGAAGCACCTCAATCCAACGCAATGCGGCCAGACGGGTGAGGACAGAGGGGTGATCGAACGTCCCGTAGATCACCTTTAGAAAGGCGGAGCAGTTTAGATCACACTCGCCGCTCTCCGAGCTAAGCGGGAAATTAAACGTAGCAAAATGTTTGCCTTGTTATATTTTTTCATGATAGATTTCTAGTAATTAGAAGTAAAATGATTTCCATGACTTTCCATTATGACTTCACAATAAAAAAAGCTGGGTTGCAAAGTGCAGTCAGTAAATAATGGTTGCATTACAACTTCAAATACTAACTTTAAATCGGTGCCTTACTCGTCAATTGCTTAGCTATTTGATAAGACCATTTGTGGATCAAAGATTTGGAAACAAAAGACTGCTGACAACTGAGACCTACCGTGACTGCCGGAGATTGTGAACAAAATTCATTAACACCTCATTGATATCAACAGCCCGTTTCAATGCAGCTAAAGAACAAAGATAGAGAGTATAGACCCGATTTCCAGCATTCACGATAGCGCTTTGACAACAATGCCAATTCATCTAAAAAATCAACTGATCGACATTTGAAAGCCAATTTTTCGCCTAAGAATCATTCGGAAGACGAAGACCGAGGGACCACGGTTTATTTCTTAAAAACACCAGAAAATAACAACCGATGTAAAAAAAGGTTTTGTTGACTAAAATGCTTAATATGCAAATGAAACTATTTCAATAAAGTATTCTTTTGCAATAAAATTCAAAGACTGTGAAGACTACTAAGAGCGTTAGTTAGCTACTTCAATAATCTGAGGAATAGCAATTCCAGCGAGATTTCAGGTAATTTGAATGTATCACACTCAATGAATATTTTACGAGCCATTCTGTGAGATTAAAGCGTGATGACTCAATGAGAATTGTTGCGGAAATGAAAAGTAGTACCCAACCCACTTCTATCATCTAGGTCGTCCCTGTCATCGATACACGGAAGGACAGCGGAGAGGATAGGAGCCACTAGGGGCATAAGCTGGAGTCCCTTGGACGTGGAGATGTGGATAAATTGCCGGATCCACTGAAGGGAAGTTATCTGTCGCAGACGCTCTGGTGAGAGGTTTGGACCAGAGAAGTTCAAGAGGGCCTCCGCCGTCCTCTCGTCCAGACTCAATGAGGCAAGAACTGCGCAGAGGGGGAGATGAGGATGTTAATTTAAGGCTGAGTAATTGTTCAAACTTACGCCGAGTGGATTCTTGGCAGTGGCTGATTAGAATGTGTATCATTGAGAGAACGTTAACAGTATCTGGATCCTTGATGGTGTTGGATAGGAAGTCATTTAGAAGAACATCACAGCTGCCAGATAGTTCGGTTTCGAAGAAATATAAAAAAAGAGGGTCCAAATTATAAAAAGAAGAGAACCCAGTTTCTTCCAAAACTATGCACTCACTTTCGCCGAATATCCGGATTTTCATCACCAAGAATGGTCAAAAGGCCGTCTAGGAGTTGTGGAATATACTGAATAATGGTAAGCCCAGGAACTGAATTTAGGGTTCCGATCTGGGAGAAAATTAATGTGTCAGAAAAATCATGGACCTACCCAACCAACAAGAAATTTACGAGTGAATGGAATTCGCGTACGGAGATGTCCAGAGACAATGCGCATGAAAGCCTTCACATCGATTATTCGATTCTGGATCACAATATCACGCAAGAGGCGATCACAGTGGTCCACAACCTGCCTTACAGACATTTCTGGATCGGCTGTAGCCTTTAAATGACAAGTGAAACTTAAGAATTAAGTAAACTTAGGTATTATTTCTTAACTGGGTCGCTTACCGTGCAAAGCGCCTCAAACAAGTCGTTAAGATATTCCAGTGAGTGAACATGGAGTACTTTCAGTATATTGTAAAGAGCTTCGCAGGCAGCATATCGAACTTGTGAATCGGTATCTCGAAGAGCTTGGAAAATAGGCGCAACAAGTTGGTCAGAGTATAAATGACAGATCTGAAATTTAGCAAAACCAATGCATTGATCTACCTGTCCCAGTCCAATAGCAACGGATGCTAAGCCAAAAAGTGCACCCTTCCTCACGTTGGCATTCGGTGATACAATAAACTCTTGTCCGAAGATCTGTAGAATCTTATCAATTTCATCCTTCTTATCCTTTGAAACATAAGTCTTCACCAGCCTTAGAAGTAGGAAAACTAAGTCAATACTTACTGCTCAACTTCCATCGCACCTGCTTTTCGTTTTTCGAATAATTTATCGCATAAATTTTTCACACATGCGTTGGGTAGTGGCTTGTAATCTCGGACATTCATTTCGGCCTGCAATAGCACACGAAATGGTAATACGCTTTTCGACCTTCAATGAATTATCAGAGGCTTCAACTGTATCGCGTATACCGAATTAATGCACTTGTAACCTTGAGAGTTCAATCATAAGAATCCTGTTGCTAAAAATTGTAAATTTTTGAAGGCATCGAGTCTTAAAAATGGGTAACCAGCAGTTGTTTGTTTGTGTGTGCACATCTCTAGTGCGCACTGAACGTTTGGATGTCTGCCAGTCGTATCCCTCAGAAGGTGACTTCGACTGCGCTGTTCCGGATATTGAATCCAGAACTTTTTGTTTGGCCTGTAAGTACTTCATCTTCCATCATATTTCCAACTACTTTCCAAGAATAGACCTGTTATTTTATTTGGCTTGGCTAGCTTTGGCTTCTGCATTGCCTACTTATCTATAAGTTACTTTTCATCGGGATCGTCATCCACCGAAGAATCTTCGGCCCCAAAGTTGAAGTCTAACTGGGATTAAAATGTACAATTGCAGTCTCTATTTTCCGCTGACTACACTATTCACCCAGCCCCCTTCTGTATTTTTAAAGTGCGAGGATATTGATGAAGAACGTCTTATAGCCGAAGCCGAAGCTATTCTAGATCGCAATGAATCGCTTATCAAGTCAAATGTAAGTTTTCCGAGAATCTATTATTGGTTGTAACAGAATTCATGGCCAAGTATTTGTGCAAATGTTTTAATATTGCTACTGACAATCGGATTGGCATATAACTTGTAACTACTTCATTTCCTATCAGGCTGCTGATCAGCTACAACTTAGTCCAGGTCATCGAGCTGTCTTTATCGGTCGAGCCCCTGTAGACTCACAGAGGTCTCACAACCAGATTCAACCAACACATAGCAACTCTCACGTGGCTAGTATTTCCTCTGACTCTTCTATATCCTCCTCTTCCTTCTCTGAGGTCGATCCCAGCCATGCAGACTCAGCCTTGACACAACCAACCTCCGTCGCTGTCGTTGCCGGTGGTGGTGACGTTGGTAATGTCGGTGCCTCTTCAGAGACTGGTGTTGGCTACACCACGAACTCAAGAGCTCTTCTTGACCCCTATGACACTTTCTGGTAGTGTCAAAATGACCGTTTTTTGTGTTTTGGTTTCTGTCAAATACAGTGCCATTTTTCTCGAGTCGTCTTCATTTATGTATGCATTTTGGCTAGGGACTCAATACTTAAATTGTTTCAGTAGAGATGTTGATGCATTTCGTTTGGGATCAATTTCTGTAGGATGGAGCTTCTAGAAGGCGCGTCTTTTTCTGACACACAGACATCTAGTAGTGGTATTTGGTCGGTATTTTGGGGGATTTGTATATCGATGCAGATCTGCACCCGGTGTGGAAATTTTTGCCCAATTGGAAAGGTGACCAGTTGCACATCTTCAGGTGGGATTATCCTCATCTCTTTCAGGTTCGACCCCTGCCACCAGTGAAGAAGCCTTGGAGCCTCGCTAAAAAGGCCTTGGTGACCTTTCTCACTGCAAGTGGGACCTTCGTCATCTACAAACTGGTTGTCAAAGCACCAACTTATGAAGGCCCCGAAGTGGATCTACGGGGCAAGATCATTGTTGTTACTGAGGCCACCAGTAAGTTTTGCTGCATCCATGACTATGTTCACAACTGGATTGCAGTAACAAACTGATTTATGGTTTGGTAGTTTTTCACACACCCTATCATCTGCGTATAGACGAGTTAAAAGTCAGGTTATATTAGTCAGAGTACGCAGTGCCGAAACCTAAACTGGAGTTACTACTGCTTTGCGGAGGTGTTCTTGTGCATGCATGCTGTTTCAGGTTTTACAAAGCTGAGCATTTGTAAATAGTCTTGCATTTGCGTACTAGTAATTAAACACTCGTGCGTTTCTCACAAATACTGTTTTTTTTTCCACCCTTCTATTTTTTCTCTCTTGCTGTCTCTTTCGCGTTTGTGGGTGGAGGTGGTGGATGTTAAGCTGTCTACATGGTAAAAGTAATTCAGCAACACATCTTTGCAGCGAACCAAGTGGACTTTCTTCTTTCCGTTTCCAAGGTCGAATGTCACGAAATCTCCTTGAAGAGCTAGCAAAACGCAGGGCCACTCTGGTGCTAACATCACGTTCTATGGATGATTGTGAGAACACGCGTAGTCGCTTGATGCGATGGGTACCAGGAACCGAGGAAGTTAACATAGATTGTCGTCGTTTGGATTTGGATAGCTTGCGGTCAATACGTCGGTTTGCAGGCGCTATCATTAAAGACTACCCCAAGGGTATCAATCGTCTGCTCATCCAACCACCGGGTCTTCTCTCCGGTGTGATTCCCGGTGAACGAAGGCTCACTCATGACGCCTTCGAGCATCAACTGGGCACAAATTTTTTCTCCTTTTATCTTCTCACACGTCTCCTCTTGCCTTCTATGAGCGGTCAAGATCGGGACGCCAGGGTTGTATTTACCATTGACACACGTGCTGCTGGGTTCGCTGAAGCCTCGGCTGAGAAAGATCCCATCACCGGTGCTGTGCGTCTCCCAATTGATAATTGGAACTGGAACGAGGGTTACTCTCCCTCCGCGGGGTATCAGAGGGCACAGTGGGCGCTTCGTCTCTTCGCTGAGTGAGTCTAACTTTTGTAAGAGGTCCCACCAACTGCACACATAGATTACGGGTTGCTGTCCGATCCGCAGTACTCATGATTGGTGTGAAAGGAAAGGAGCTTAACTATCAAGTTAAAGGAAGGCGTGGTTATGAGGAATTGTGGTTGTTTGTTGCAGCCATAACTGTTTCAGTGCTGTGGCATGGTTAATTGACAAGGCAGTGTTGTGCGTTCTTGTACTTGATTGACCTTATAAGGAGAACGCACACTATAAGTGAAAGTGTGACCTTCGGAAATTTGTGCAAATGTGGGGCGCTTAAGCGCAGCCACGCGTGAATATAAAACGGGAATGGATGGATAAACCCCAAGTCAACGAAATACAGGTTAATGGATGGCTTGTATGCTACATACAGCGACTAGGTGTGTTTTAAATTCACTTGGGCGCAGCCCTTGAATCATCCCCCTCGCTCCCTGCGACACACACCAACGGGCAAGCACAGGGGCGCACGCACGCACGCATGCGCGTACGTGCATCCACGTGAGAGTGGAAGCGCTTTTGCCCTCTCTCGCTCCTAGGCTGTCTCACTTGCCGGACAACAACAAACATGGGGATGTATTTTGCATCATGCTTATCATTCTTGCCACTTTGCGTACTCTACCAAGCTCTCCACCTCTCCAACTCTCCAATTAGCTGGGCTAACACGTTCGCGTGCGCACGTGCACGTACGCGCGTCTGTTCGATGAAAGGCGACCGACTACGGCACTTTCCATGTTTCAACCACTGCACTGCCTGTGTGTGTGTGCTAGGCTGGTGGTGGTTTGATATGCGATTTAACTAGCCGCCGTTATATGACAAACTTCCTGCCGTTTGCACAGGGGCTGAGAGAAGGCGATGTGTAGAAGTGGCTACGCACTGACATAGACACCCCGGTCTGTCTGTACCACACTTCCACTCACAAATTATGTTTTAGACTGACAGACAGGCTCGTAAACAGCCCAGTGCTGCCACGGGATTAATGCTTATTCACTCTCAATGCTAGTTTGATGCATCATTTGGGGTTAGTGCGTGTGTTTGGTCACCCGTTTTATCTAATGTGTGATCCCGATGATGGAAAAGGCCTCAAAGGGGGCAACTCGAAGGTGATAAGTGACGAGGTTGTGCTTCATTCCAGCAGTTATGCGAGTAGCATGTCTAGAGGTAGACATGCAAGCATTTGTATGCGGAGTCGGGTTGGAATGATTAGTCATGCGATGTAGCGGCGGAGACTGTGTGTGTGCGTGCGTATGTTTATTTGTGGAGTAGTCTCACCCATACACGCACACACATGCCAACACACTTCAGCTAATTTAAAATACGTTTCCCGTTTTGTATGTGAAAGGGTATGAACATGAAGCTAGCTTGTTTACGAGGCAAACCCTGGCTATTTCTCTATTCAGTGAGTTGGCCAAACGGACAGCCGAAACAGGCCCAACCGTGGTAATAGCTGATCCCTTGGTGAATCGGACCTCATCACCTCCTGAACTATCCGGTGAAGTGAATTGGATTGCCCCTCTGCGATGGTTTCGAAACATTGGCAGGAGCTACCTCAATCTAGGCCACCTAATCATCCGCATTGCCCCCCAGCGCGTCACAGCCACAGAGGTGATGTGCACAGTGGCCACGATGGAGAGCTTGGGGCTATTGGAGGGTGTCGCCACTGAAGCACCTACTTTCCAAAAGTTGAAAAGGAAGGAGCCGCGGACCGACAATGTGGACAGGTCTGAGGCCAGAGATCTACTGTGGAGATTGGGGGAGAAATGGACCCATCTGGATACCCATCCCGAGCCCGTGCCCCTACCGCCTAGATTTTGAGACGTTTTATGATCAATACAAGCTCAGTTAGGGGTTAAAATGGCGATTTCTTGACGAATTTTTGGAGCTCGCTTAAGCATTACTCGTTTAGAGAACCAAGTAGACGAAGAAGCGGGGAGAACAGCCAACGGAATTACCAGCGTGCATAAAAATACGAGCCACCTCACCTGTGTTACGGGAATAAGTTGCCACGTGGCAGCCGAGCTCAAGCTTGACAGAAGATAATACATGTAGCCGCTGACAATCGCAACCGAAAAAGAGACTACATGTGATCACAAGCAGGCAGGTGGTGCCCCCGAACTAACCAAGTAGCCATGTGAATCGTCGGCTCAGATGATTACATCCATAACTGTTGCTAAATACCTAAACGCGGAATACCGTCAGGTGACACTGCACCAGGGAATCCTTGCAATCCTAACCAGATTAAAGTAAACAATGGGCACCAGCGTCAGCCAATACGATTAAGGTAGGTGCCCACCCCGTAGGCAAGAGAAAAAAAAGCGACGAACCCGCTTTACAATCAGACATAAGAGCCTGAACTTTATTGAGTATAGGAAAAATCTCCACATAGTAGAAATGCAGAGGAGGCATGCAAGTACCCAAAATGTGGAGATGAGTGTACGCAATTGGGCAGAGACTAACGCTCGGCTAGTTGTATGGGCGCAAATACTTTAATAATATATAGGTATATAAGAGTATAAATCTGACCTTTAGATAGGGGCGGGGCGCGACAGCTTACATCCATTACATGTACCAAATGAACATTAACGACTAAAGTGTAGAAGCAGCACTTCTCCAAAAGATTACAAATATATAACGGATCTGATATTAATAAGCAAAGGGTGGATAGGTGAGTAGGGTAGAGAGGCTGCAGACAAATGGGTCGTTACAGAATGGTGGAAGAGGAAATATACAACGGACAGAGAGGTGAGAGAGCGAGACAGAGAGCGCAATGTAAAAAGGTGCCAAAACGAAACAAATATGGGAAATTATTGGAGGATCCGAACAGGCAAGCGCTCACATTGGCTTATACTGTGTACAGATTCGTGGGATTTGTGAGGACGGACAAATGCCGAAACAGAACTATGTACGCTTGGAAGTCACCAGGCTGATGGAAAAGGTGAGTGATAGTGCTGCTGTATAGACCCTATTGAGATACTCCTTCTGCTGCAGGGGGTTTATCAGCTGGAACTTCCTCGCTCTTCTGTTCGGGGCCTACAACAGCAGGTTGCTCGTTGGCAGACTCATCGACAGCGCTATCTAAAACCCCCCAAAACGTAAAAGCAATCACTATCAGAAAATGAAAGCTGCAAAATAAGCAATGCACTCAACTCACCGCCCTTGCACAGTTCCTTGGTGTCAGTACCATTCGCGGGGGGCTTGTCCCCCGATGTAGCAGCACTATTCTCTGGAACGGCAGCTGGAACATCATCTTTCGAAACTTGAACGTAGTTAACAAGCAATTGGCCGTCTTCACCTTGAGCAGAGATAGCCGACTTGACTTCTTCACTATCTGAATGAGGCACATTCGACTTTTCGACAACTTCGAAACCAGCCTCCCTCGCAGCTGTTAAAAAAACTAAGACGATGAACGGACTTCACACTGTTAAATCATTGGAATTTAGCAGGAGTACATCTGATACGAACAAAACCGACTTGATCTTCCACGACAACTCCCGAGTAGATTTAAATAAACCCAAATTAAACTCCGTGTATTGGTAAAAAAGGATCCAAGCACACCGGTTCTAATTAACTTGCTGTCGGAACTAGAAAATACTAAAAGGCAAATACAGCTGCAGTGAAAAGTGAATACCAGGCCTAATTTAAGTAACGTGACCAAGAACATAGGTTTTAAAAACACCTAGGGTTAAGAATTAACAAATGTTCATCAAAACTACCTTCAAATTCCATCTTTGATGTTCCTTCATCGTTCGCCGCTAATTCGTCTTTACCTCCTGACTCCTGGGCGCTTCCGGGTAGGTTTGCCGAAGATTCCATGGTTTCTAAGACCGTGTTAACTAAAAAACACTCATCAACCTTCAAGTTTCTGCTTCTTTTCTACTGGCTCTCCAAGTGAAGCATCCTTGTAAGTACCCTCAGTCCCATTGTGATCAACCTTGTCTTCAGCGTTCTCCACTTTACCTTCCGAAGCTCTCTACATGCACTCACTATATATTCCACAATTACCTTTGAAGATCGCCGTGTCTTCTTAACGGGAGAAGGTGTAGGTGTTTTATTTGCGCTGGCTGCAGCAATACGTGCACTCTGACGCCTAGGGACGGGGCTATCACTTTTATTCGAACTGCGGCGTGGCATTATGAGCAAAGAATCCTCTGTATGAAATGAAGTAGTACGTAAAGCTTCGCCACATGGTTATTAATAAAAAACGTTGTATATTAAGCGGAATATCTGAAATACAAATAAGAGAATCTCACGCTTAACGGTTACGCGCAAACAGGGATGTACGAACTGGCGAAGATAACTTAAACAAACTATTATCTTCGCTCTCAGTGAACAGCCAAAACAAGAGCATTTTAGGTAAATATAATAAGCAAAGCTAAATAAAAATTTTTTTTATTAGTGTTTTGCGTCTAAGTTAGCAAACAGGTGCAGAGGATTTTATGCTAACCACCTCTTTGTAGGAATTTGTGGAACACTTTTGTGCTGAATCAAAAAACTTAGTTAACACACACCTTCTTAAACATTTTAGTGCTGGTATACGGACTGCAATAATATTGAGTTTGCTATAATTCCATCTTACGGCTAACAGAGGAAATCATTTCTCAGTGGACTCCTCTAGTTTCGCAAACACAAATATGTAATACGATGGTGGTTTGTCCCTCGGTTCCGGTGAGGCGCCACTTTTGTGCTTCGAATTAGCCCCCTTGTACCTCGCTGGGTGGGCTGGCCTTTTGGGCCATGCCAATAGCCCAGACACCTTCTCCGTGCCGAATACATATATTCTGCCCGAGTATTGTGTCTTCTTTCGTCTTAAGGGAGTCTCGGGACGCTACATTGGTGGCAGCGGAAAGCGAACCCGATCTTAAAGGACATGTATCCTGATTTTCCACTTCTGCGTGATAAGCCTTAGTGGGACGGAAGAAGTACATATGCTTCGGATGGGAGAATGGTGATGACCCCTAACAGAAGGGTTGGTGTTGACGTCTACCTTCGGCATCCCTCCCAGTCCCGTGTTCTGCAGAAAAGCTATTAACAACTGAAGCGACACTAGCCGTGAACCATCTGGAAGTTTCGTTACGGATTTCCCCTACCGTCCCTCATGGACCTGTTTTAAATCTTGTAATTCCTTACTCAAGTCTGCTTTTAGGCCAGTGTTCCTGCATCTATCTATGGACACCCATGATGGCCGGCGCAGTTCCCCGTCCTGAATGAAATCCCC